CAGACCAGAAACAGGAAGGTGGGAGCTGACCTCTCAAGGTGCAAGGCCATCACTGGAAGATAACTCAGTTGCCTGCTGGGCTGACCAGCTCCTTTCCTCTACTTCCTATTGGAGAGGGGACTTTTGATGGGATGAGAGTAGACTGAGGAGATGGAGCTGGGTAACCATGTTCCGGTGAGGGAGTGACCATACCCCTGTGATGGGAGGCATGGGTAATGGCTACGTCAGAGGACCCAAAGGCAGTCCCCTGCACTGGAGCCCTCCCTCTGCTTCCCACTTCCTCCTCCTTATATGGTAGGTCAATTCTTAGACAAATCTGAATTAAGGAATTCTTAAATACTACATTGTAAGTATATAAATATTAGACCCTTACTTTGCAAAAATAGGAAATCATTAGAATCCTACAGATCTTTGAAGTCCGTGAAATCCCAAACCTGGAAGGGCAGTCACAGTCCTGCGGCCTAAAGAGACAAGTTCTGGGAGCTGTAGCCCTTGACTTCAGCTGTTTTATGGACATCACAGGGTATGCTTACAGAGATTCTCCAAGGTCAGAGGTGACACTGCCATGTGGGAATGTCCATCTGTCCTTTACTAAAATGTCCTTAAGTGGCACAAGACAGTGACTGCACGCTGACCACAGGAGCAGCGTTCCACTGTTGAAGAGGTCACACAGCCTGAGATGGACCCCGAACTCATACAGGCTGAGTTATGTCTTCAGAGAAGCATTCAAGGCACAGAAGACAGCCCATGGCACTGGACTCCATTCCCGGTCACCCGTGACTCCTGCCAGTGGATGAGCTCAGCTCAAGGGCATGTTATCCTATCAGCCACTCACTGCCCATCTCATGCCGGCAGCCCCATTCCTTCCCTGGGCCTGTGGGTGAAGATGTGTTGGCTCTGGCCATGTTCAAAAGAAATGCAGTTCATAGCAGCAGGAGCATGTGCACCTGCCAGGCTTCACTTCCGGCTTTATCCAAACCCATCTCCGGTTTCCAGGTGAAGGAGCTTTCCATCTTGAAGGAAAGGAAAGAGGCCACAGCCTCAGAGTCACAGAACAGTTTTATTACTGGCAGGTCCACCAGCACAAGAACTGCCCGGAGGGTGCCCAGCCTCACAAGCAGGATCACTCCCTTCCCAGGTTCCCACCTACTGACTCTCCTACAGCATTTAAATGTTAACCAGAGAGGGAGTCAGCTGTCCTGTGGGCACGCCATCCCACCTATCACTCTCACTGACCTCAGTGAAGCACAAAGGTTGTCTTCTCACCCTCTGGCCTTTCTTGTCACAAGATTCGCCCAATCACATGGGCTCCCTGTGTGGGGCACCCCCACCTTCATCTTCAACAACAGGGGGCTCCTTTTGGGGAAGTGAATCTTACCATCCACCATGGCAATTATATTTAATCAAACCGTTCTCCACTGTGGACCTCAAAGCTGCAGAGAACGAAGAAAGGAGTCCAGCTCACAGTGGGTAGGGCCACTTCCTCCTCCTTTATGAGAGCTCCTCCAAATGGGCATGAGTTAGCTCCAAGCCCCACTGAAATGAACTCGGTCCACAGGAGTGTATCACTCTGCATGGTGGTCAAGGCCGGGGGCGGGGGGTGTCAGAGTTTCTCCACCTGTGTCCTTGAGAAGGCAGACAGAGGGGCAGGACCTCCCAAGGCTACTTCACAGCAAGTGGCTCCCATTCTGGCAAAGGTTTGACTCCCCACACCTGCTCTCCAGGTTCCTTCATAAAACTCCTCCCCACCCTGCCTGCCCTCAGAGTCAAATGGTCAGGAGCATTTCTGCTCAACTCTTCCTGCTGTAGGAAAAACAAAGATCTTTATTTACCACGTTTCGAACAGTCTTATTGGGGCCCTCAATGTGTCAAGCCCATACATCTTCCAGAGGAAATGTTTATTCCAGAGTTATAGTTGAGGTGGTCCTTTAAGTTACACGGAATTTTAAAGTTAGCCTTACATCATGAAATTCATTCAATGTACCCCTTAAGTTTGGGGGTTCCTTTGGTATGATTCTGAGGCTAGGCTCTACCGGGTGGCAGCATAAAAACCACTGTTGCAAACTCATCTAGAACCCTGCCTGGAGACCCATTTAGGGGTCTTAGGCATCTATTAAATGACTCACAGACCCAAGGCGGTGGTTCTTTACCCTGAGCCAGTGAGCATACATATGCCCTGGCCACCTTGCTATCTCACATCCACAACTCACCAGCCTCCCCTGTGGGTCAGGGTTTTAGAGTTCTCCAGTTTGGGTCTAACACTTTCTCGTGATTAGATGCACTTCTGCGGGTCTGACATGTGTGTCTACTGGTCACAACGACCTGGATGTTTCCTTTGGATGGTTGGCATATGCTGGATTCACAATTTATAAACACTCTGGGGGAGATAATTCAATTGGAGGAGACAAGGAAATGCAGTGTGGGATTCCAATCAGATCCTGAAACCAAAAAGGATGTGGATGGGACTGCAGTCTGCAGAAGGTCTGGAGCTTAGTTATCATGACGCATGTCTGCTTTTAGGTGGCTATTTCCTCCTACATGATGGGAACAGCAGGGGGAGGAGGAGAGGAGGGGGAGGTTCACAATTGATTTTACTGGGATTACTTGAGACCACAGACTGATTCTGTGGATGCTCATCAGTGTGGGTTGCTGAGGACTCTGCTATCAGGCTCTGGCCAATGGAGCTTATTTCATAAAGCACGTTGTACAGGTGGGACAGCCCACGGCCTGCATCACTGCACTGCGCACTACAAACAGTGCTGGGCTCACGCCTGAAACCTCAATGTGCTCGGCCGACAAATGACCCGGCAAAAGTAGGGTCAAGTGTCTTAAACTCGGTGTTTGCGACAGAATGTGTCTGACCAGCCTCTGGCAGAGCCTGGTGCCCTGCCAATGCTGCAGAGCCAGAAGCAGCCATTCAGCTGGCCGCCACTAGTCAGCCACCTGGCACCCAACCAAGGCCAGAAAGGCAGTAGGGCAGTGCCCCAGCTGTGGAATTCCTGTTCAAGGTGGGCGGCCACACAGGGGACCTCTATTTGCCCCATCAGAATAATCTTTAATAGAAGACAATAAACCCAGGAGAGAATTCGGGGAGAAAGCCCAGCAACTTCTCAAAGAGGATTACATCTAGATAAGGGAACCAGCAGGCTAGAGCGCACAGGAGCGGGCCTCACCAGGACCTCAGCATCTCCAGTCACTCCAGGGACAAGGGGAGCACTCTCCAGTCAAGGAGACCCTTACAGTAGACGGACAGTCCAGAGAAAAGGCCTATGCAATCTTGTGCTCCGCGACTCGGGGTAACAAGCTCTCCCAGTCACCAGTGGGGAAAATCGTTTTTGGGGGGATGGGGTCTTTTTGAGACGGTCTCTGCAGCCCCAGCTGGCCTGGCACTATGTAGACCAGGCTGGCCTCGATCTCACAGAGACCAGCCTGGATCGGCCTCCCGAGTACTGGGGCTAAAGGCAGACACCACCATGCCCAGGTGGGAAAATCATTTTTTAAAACCGGCTCCACAGACCCAGGGCTGTCTGCCAGCTTCCTCTGGCCTTGGACAATAATCAGCAATCCTGGAGGAGGAAGACCTGCCCAGCCAGCAAGAAGCCACCATCTACCACCCACCCAACCACCCCCGAAAAAGGGGGTGCCAAACAAGAAACCAGACAAAATGGAAAAGAATCCGAGTTTCCTGAGGCTCAGGGAGAAAAATGCATTCAGAGGGCAAACTACTGGGCCACGGAAAAGGACAGACACCCAGAAATTACAAGTCTGCTTGAGGATTAGAACAGTGTGAGGGCTGGAGCACAGATTGAACACGGACTGAAAGCCCGCTCACAGATGGGGGGGAGCACGGACTGAAAGCCCGCTCACAGATGGGGGGGAGCACGGACTGAAAGCCCGCTCACAGATGGGGGGGAGCACGGACTGAAACCCGCTCACAGATTGGGGGGGAGCACGGACTGAAAGCCCGCTCACAGATTGGGGGGGAGCACGCTCACAGATTGGGGGGGAGCACGGACTGAAAGCCCGCTCACAGATGGGGGGGAGCACGGACTGAAAGCCCGCTCACAGATGGGGGGGAGCACGGACTGAAAGCCCGCTCACAGATGGGGGGGCTGGAACAAAAGCTGGAGACTCAAGGAGGCGACGCACAACTGTGTCGCGCGTGAACAAGAACTCCTGAACAATCAGCCCGGAGGACTCGGTTCTCCCCCAGCCGGACGGGCCTGCAGACTACAAACCCGAGGGCGGTCACAGGCGCCCGTGCAAGGACAAGACCTTCCTCGGTGCGGGGAGGAGACCGTTACAGAAGCTTGACCGAGGTTCCCGGGCCACGGATGCAGAAGCGGACGCTCAAGTGTCCTAACGACCCGAACTGCGCGGACACTCAGGGCCTACCTGCGCGGGGCCAGGGAGTAACTGACCCGAATTAGGACACGACAGGGAGGTTACAAGGTAAGTACTCGGCGCACTAACGCCCGGGGGCGGAGGGAGGGGGACACCGCGGGGGGCCGCCGGGAGCCAGTCTGGGTGCTGAGGACAGTACTGTGCGCACCGGGCGGGGGCGGGCGAGGGC